TGCAAAGGGGTAGCTGCTCGACACAGCACCCAGAAGACCACAGCTAGTTCAGGCTACTACAGTGATTCTCAGCTTACACAGAGGACAAACAGGTATTACATATAAATACGAACATTGTGCCAAGTTGGCCGAATGTCTGTATGCAAAATACACTATATTGCCAAAAGTATTGGGACACCCCTCCAAATCATTGGATTCAGGTGTTCTAATTACCTGCACTGCCACAGGTGTATAAAATCAAGCACCTAGGTATGCAGGCTACTTCTACAAACATTTGTAAAAGAATGGGTCGCTGTCAGGAGCTCAGTGAATTCAAGCGTGGTACTGTAATAAGTTGCCACCTGTGCAACTCAGCCACAAAGTGGTAGGCCACGTAAAACGACAGAGCAGGGTCAGCGCATGCTCAAGCACACAGTGTGCAGAAGTTCCCAACTGTCTGCAGAGTCAATAGGTAAAGACCTCCAAACTGTGTGTGGCCTTCAGATTAGCACAACAGTGTGTAGAGAGCTTCATGGAATGGATTTCCATGGCCGAGCAGCTGCATCCGAGGCTTACATCACCAAGTGCAATGCAAAACGTCGGCTGCAGTGGTGTAAAGCATGCCGCTACTTGACTCTAGAGCAGTGGAAACATCTTCTCTGGAGTGATGAATCACGCTTCTCTGTCTGGCAATTCAATGGATTTGTCTGGGTTTGGTGGTTGCCAGGGAAACAGTACTTGCCTAACTGCATTGTGCCAAGTGTAAAGTTTGGTGAAGGGGGGATTATGGTGTGGGGTTGCTTTTCAGGGGTTGGGCTTGGCCCCTTAGTTCCACTGAAAGGAACTCTTCAGGTGTCAGCATACCAAGACATTTTGGACAATTTCATACTCCCAACTTTGTGAGAACAGTTTGGGGATGGCCCCTTCCTGTTCCAACATGACTGCGCACCAGTGTACAAAGCAAGGTCCATAAAGACATGGATGAGTTTGGGGTGGAGGAACTTGACTGGCCTGCACAACCCAATAGAATACCTTGGGGACGAATTAGAGCAGAGACTGGGAGCCAGGCCTTCTTGTCCAACATTAATGCCTGACCTCACAATTGTGCTTCTGGAAGAATGGTCAAACATTCCCATAGACACACTCCTATACCTTGTGGACAGCCTTCCCAGAAGAGTTGAAGCTGTTATAGCTGCAAAGGGTGGGCCAACTTGGTATTGAACCCTACGGCTAAGACTGGGATGCCATTAAAGTTCATGAGCGTGTAAAGGCAAGTGTCCCAATATTTCTGGCAATATAGTGTATATCATTCCTGGAGTACAGTTTAAAAAAAATCCCATGGACAAAGAAAAGTTCACACAGCACTTTGCTCACAAATTACAGGTCCTTTATTCCCTTTTTGTTAACCTCATCAGCACTGAAGGGGTTATACTCATGGACATGTACGGTCATACACATAACTATGCCCCGACACTTGGGATTTTGTGTTTTTTAACCCTTCTTGACAACTCTGAGTCTTAGGAACTGCTGTGAAATCTGACACTTGTCTTTAAAAAAACAAAAGGCCTCTGCTGCAAGAGGAGAAGGTGAGAATTGCAGACCTCCATCCTGCAGCTGAGGGGCTAACACATTATTCCATTAGTCACCAATTGTTATACATATTTATAACCTTTTGCAATTGTACAAAAGTTTATTCGTGTGAGAGGGACTAGTTTTCCATCTAGAGACAGCCTGGGCAAGCCATGGAGATGGGCGGCCATGATTTGAAGGGCTACGGCGAAGTTCTTAAAGAATCCACCAAGCTGTGAGTAAAAGGGGCGAGGTTAGCATATAAATTATGGTTGATCCTCTCTGGACTTTGGCTCTTTAACTTTTCAAAAGTCAACTTGTAAGTCACTTTTCAGAATCTCTGGCCTGATCCTCCATGAACCCTGGAGTCAATTTTGGTGCATTTTTTAAGACAATCCAAAAACAATCAAGGCACAGAAAGGCTTTGAAAGAACAGACATGGGGCACAAGTGTAACTGACCCACTATTCTTGCCTCCTCCCACTTCACTGATCTTTCATTGAAGTATTTGCCCATTAAAGAGATTCTCAAGGTAAAGAGTTAAACTCATTTTACTCACAGACTAAGGGGGGCAGGAGCACTGTTCAGTGATAAGCAGCTCTTTAGCTTTCCTGTGTGACACTGAAGCCCTTATCTTAAATTAGTTTAGGAGGAATAGCCATGCTGAACTGGGGTGGTGGTTAGGAGAGGTGTCACCTATTCAGCTTTTTAGGTAGAGATAGCACATTCTCAAAATTTCTTTACAGCTGATTTCAGATACTTACTCAGATGTTATACAGTCCTCAAGTCATTAACTTTCTACTTAGGACCATGCAACAGTTTTGCCCTTATCTGGGATAAACCAATAGGAGTTAGAATGGTGTTCAGAGGGATGTACATTACTCAACTCAGTGAGTATGGATAGTACCTCATCCACATCTAATGCCTCTCTTTACAGCTGATTTCAGATACTTATTCTGATGTTATACAGTCCTCCATTCATTAACTTTCTACTTAGGACCATGTGAGATTTTCGCCCTTATCTGGGATAAACCAATAAGGAGTTAGAATGGTGTTCAGAGGGATGTACATTACTCAACTCGGTGAGTATGAATAGTACCTCATCCACATCTAATGCCTCTCTTTACAGCTGATTTCTGATGCGGACTCAAGTTACACAGCCTTCAGCTCAACAATCTCCCTCTAAGCGCTTTAATGGAGAGCTTTAAGTCAATGCTAAAGCTCTGTCCACACGATGAAAATATCGGATGAATGATAGTCCGTTTTTTTGCATGCTAATCTCATATTGAAAGTTCAGAGGTTGCTAAAGTTACAAAAATTCTTGTACAACAGAATAAAAATTTGGAAGTGATGTAATGTATTGTATTTGTATTGTATTTTCAGACAAAAACTGTACTGATTAAACAAAAATCATACGATATGATGTGATCGTACAAGAAACATTTCCACGCTAGTCCTCTTGAATAATTTCGGACGAAGGCTGTGTACTAACGATCAGATTATCGTACAATCACTACAAAAGCGGTATTTTTCGTACAAATTTCTCATCGTGTGTACTAGGCTTAAAGCAGGACAGTGTTAGAAGATGTACCCTTTAGTAATTTCTCTAAGTAGGGCTGACATGTCCTTAGTAATTTCTCTAAGTAGGGATGACATGTCCTTAACAACCAATCAACTCTTTATAGCCGATTTCAGAAATGGGCACAGCCTTTCACTAATTTACCTAGCAAGCTGAAGGTTGTGTGATATTTGAGCCCTTATCTGAGAAGAGCCAAAGCTAATGCAGGGTGGTGTCATCAGGAGAGGTACCTCCTAGTCAGCTCTGGAGAGCACCTCCTGAAATCTCATTACAGCGGATTTCAGATAATGACTCAGACATTACATAGCCTTTAGCTCACCCTCAGACACTAATCAGCTAAAGGCTATAGGTCACAGAACAGCTCCCTTATCTGTAGGAAAGGGGAAAGAGTTGAACATCAGATCCACCTGGTTTGAAGGTTACCAGGTCTTCTCGACAACCAACAAGGAGCGTTATTAGAGATACATTGGGAAGCAGACATTTTCAGCAGTTTGTAAGGCACTGGGAGCGAAGGACAAAGGTTGGAATGGCGGGAACACACACATACACACACGTGTCAAGACATCATCTAGTTACATGCCAGTATCTTAGTAATCTTAGACCACAGTTGTGTTAGTGTTTTGGGCTTCTTGTTGGGAAAATAACAAAAAATTCAAGACTTCTATCTCTGTTGTGCAATTCCAAAATAAGAGTAAAACAAAAAATAGAGAGAGATCTATCAGATAGGTGTATAAAAACAGAGCACATCTGTCTGTGCTACACTGTAGCGCAGGAGGAGCTGTCCTTTTCTAAAAACACATTAAAGTGACTTGGGATAAAACAAAAAACACACGAAAATGTAGCAGCTGTGTCTGTTTCAGTCCTTCCAAAAACATCTGAGCATTTTTCCATCTTCTTACATATGCCGAGTGGCCTGTAGTCTCTCTGCCGCTCCACGGTCATTCCTACTCACGCCCCTTCACGACATCCTGGAAACCCTCTATGCAAATGAAAACACTGCCTGTTTTGTCGATTTTTTTTTCAACTTTTTTTTTCTTTTTTTTCTTTTTTGGTATCTTAAAACCCTGGAGAGTTTGTTATCCTTCTATACACTTGTAAAATCATTTGTTAAAAATTACAACCCTCTAAAACTTAAAATTATTACAATTAGTGCGGCAAGAGGGGAAAAAAAACAGAACAAAACAAAAAAATAAAACAGAGTCAAAACCTAAAGCGGTGCAAATAAGTTGTTATCAGAGGTATCCGCAGTGCCCTCTCCCAATTCTTGAGGAGAGCACGAAAGGAAGAAGATGAAGAAGGAAGTGGGACCTCCCTGTGGCGCAGAAAAAACACACACGGCTCCATATTTTTTTCTCGCAAATATCAAAGTAAAAGAAGAAATTAAAAACTAAAATTACAGTATTGTCATCACCCCCCTAAATTCTATAGACTCTGTATAATCTCCTATATTTGCGCTACATCACCAGATCCTGGCGTGTTTTAAGTCAGTCGGATTAATAAATACAGCATTTTTATAACCCAGTGGGTGACTTCTCCAGCATAGTCTTCACCCCCTTCTAGAACAGTTCTAAGATCCAGTGAAGAGAGGAGACCACAACGGTTTAAGGGGTGAGGTCTCGATCTCCTAAAAAGACAGTTGTGCAGAAACAGTTTTGGGCTCAAAGAAGTCTACAGTTCTAGGTCTCTGCGTGCATGGGTTCACCTATCCCTCCAGAACCCGACGTAGGTGGTGTTATTCCAAAAAAAAAAAAAAAATAAGTTCTGAAAATTGTCAATTTCTACTTTCACAAACTTTCAGATTAAAAAGTTCTGGAAGTTCACCTGTCCCCCTCCGTTGAGCCGCTCTCCCTCTGTTGATCCTCCCGTACAAGAACTTAGATGTAGGGGTACTGATTGACTTTGGGTGGACTCAGAGGGTAGCCAGTGTATACAGTGGAAGTGGGGGAAGCTGGGATATAAGTTTGATGGGTGAATTGTGCCTGATACTGGCTAGGATGGAGGCTGGGAGACGGAAGCAGTCGTGGCGCCATGTTGACCGGAACAATGCTGGCAGGAATAAGCAGCGTGACGCGCAGAACCTTGAGATGCCACCAGGTGGGCGACAGTGCCTGTGGAACCAAGAGCAGCAGGAGCGGTGTAGGTGTACAGGTGAGGTTGGCTGGGAAGGTGGGCAGTGGCTGCCAGGTGAGGGTGTACCGCCCCATGGCTGGGGCTGTTGTGTGGGAAAGAATATGGTGCCTGGGCAAGCGTGGGTGCTATGTAGGCCTGCTGTCTCCGATGACTGGCAGAACGCTCGGTGTTCATGTGCTGAGATACCTGCAATGACAGGGTAACAAAATTTTTACTAAGTCCTTGTCTATAAAAATGAGCATTCATATACTGGTCTCTGTGCTTCTGCATGGTTTATACGCATGGTCTCTGTGCTTCTGCAAAGTTTTCAGGTGTCACCAAACTACCAGCTAGCCATACTGAATTCAAGGTGTTTTGTCACCTTATAAATCTGCTGGCTCGCCTTACACAAGTTGTGAGAGACCACATGACCTCATTTTACTGGCAGTTTTCCCTGCATTGGCTCTGAATGGTCACATAACCACATCATAACACTAGTTTGCATTGCACTGGATTTGACTGGTCACATGCCTTCGTTTCACTGCCAGTGTTCTCTACATTGGTTCTAAATGATCACATCACAACAATAAACTTGCTTTACATTGTCTGTTAAAGGTCACGTGAGCTCATCATACTGCCAGGTTTCGCTACAGTACACTCTTGACATTTATGATACTGAAGGGCAGAGTATTGCAACAAGTAACCAAGAAGATACATTTAAATATAATGATCTACTAGAAGCAATTCCGAGCAACCTTCTGGCACGGCCCACTTTAAATATTAAGTCATGGCAAGGTAACATAATTATATTTGTGAAGCTCTGTATTGTACATCCCTAGGCACAAGCCTTATGAGCCTTCTGCAAATGGCAGGTCACTATTGTATGATTGGTCACTGGTCCAGTTACCTGGCTGAGATTGAGCGGCTGCTGCTGGAACGAGTGTCCGGGGTCCTGGACTGGCGGTAGGAAGCTGTGGAGACGAAGCTGCTGGAGGAATGTGTGCTGGAAGCCACAGTAGAGGAGGAGGTGGAGGATTTGGGTTTATATGAATGGTGGCTGGTTGTATCTACATTAGTATTGGAAGAAAAAAAAAATTGAACATCAACTTCTTACAGTGAGACACAAAACTAATGAGCCCAAAATTCAGAGCTGTTTGTGTGATGGAGCCCCATAGCAAAACCATTTGACCCTCCTGTCTCTCTAGTCCTCATTTGAAAGGAGTTTTCTGTAATGTAACATCCCTTTTACATGGGCATTCCAAACAGGTGTGTCGGAACGTTTTTCAAGCCTGATCGGAAGCTTTACGCAACTCCATGCGCAGGCTGATGTAAACGGACCTGTGTTCATTTACACCCACCTACCTCCAAATTTTTCAGGACCTAAATATAACAGATTGGAGGTAGCCTGATGTAAATGGCATAAGTTAACATCCATCTGCCCATAGAGCCATCATGGGTCCGCTCTACTGTCAAAATGTGGACACACAGAATGGGCACAGATGTCAAAACACTGCCATCCGTCTCACTCAGATCCAATCCAGCAGGGAATCATCTAATGAATCCCATGCTTAAAGGAGAAGACCGGCTCTGTGTGAAAGGGCTATTACTGAAATGGTAGATTAAAGTGGACCTATCATCAGAAAGATATTTTCATGCTAGGTCATTTGTAAGTGTAACACTTACAGGTATTTATACCCTCCCACAGAGATCACAGTAGTCCTCCTGACAATGCCTTCATTTGCTTTTCTCTCCAGAAGGACAGTGTCATCCTTGTTTATGAATCATCCATGGTCACCATTTACTTCCTTGACTGAGATTCTGCTTCAGAAATGACACAATCACATCAACCCTGGTGCCTGTGCAGTTTTTCCCTGTGTTCACAAATGTCTGATACAGATCAGCCTCTCACCTTATCTGTTACAAAGTTAGAATGATCCAGTCTGAGCACTGGGGTGAGAGGAGACTGAGGAAATGCTTCCTCCTCTCTGCAGCAGACTGATGACAACATCTCAGCTTAGACAATGTCCCTAACTGGAGTTTGAGGATTACTTTTTTAATCATACAATTGTGGAGCTTTTCTGAAAACGATACTGTCACCCGAGGCGCATTCACCACAAGGCAAGGGTGGTGATGCGGGGTGATGTGATATTGATTGGGTGGGGGGGGGGCATTTTTGTGTTGCCTTAGGCAGTACAAAACCTAAATACACCACTGACTGTCACTGTGTATTTTGACATATCAGAAATGTATTAATGCAGACTTACAAATTTACTGAGAGATCCACTTTAAAAAGACAGAGCGAGGAGACTGTGGTTATTGAGCACTGTGGATATGGACATAATACTGTACATGCCAAACAGACTCAGATGCTTAGCATGTCAGAGAGTCAATGACACCCAACGTCTCCACAACCATGACCAGTCATAACACCCCAAGCACATACGGCTAGCCTCTCCCTAATGTCATTCCTCTTGTCAGCTATGTTTTTGCAGAAAAAAACTTTGACACATATACAGTTGTGACCAAAATTATTCAACCCCCAATGCTGTAAAGGGGTTTAGGGACTATAGTGTACATTTGGAATTGTATTCAGAATCAAATCCTACAAGGACGTTGTAACTACCCAAATGCAACTAAAATGACATCAATTGTTTATGTAATACAGTAGTAAATGGTTCTTATGTGGTTTCTTCATTGCCACAATTATTCAACCCCTTAAAGACTACCACTCTGAAGAACAGAGGTTCATACAGGTGCTTTCCATCAGGTATTGAAAACACCTGTGGATGTCACCGAGCAGCAATCAAGCATAATAAGCACCAATTAGGCAGCTTTAAAATGACTGTGATACTCAGCTCCTTCTAGACATTTACTGGTGTGGTTACAAACATGGTGAAGGCAAGAGAATGGTCCAGGAAGACAAGAGAAGAGGTGATTTCTCTTCACAGGAAGGGCAATGGCTATAAGAAGATTGCAAAGATGTTAAACATACCAAGAGACACCTTAGGAAGCATCATTCGCAAATTCAAGGCAAAGGGCACTGTTGAAACGCTACCTGGTCGTGGCAGAAAGAAGATGCTGACTTCGACTGCTGTGCGCTACCTGAAGCGTAGAGTGGAGAGAAGTCCCCGTGTGACTGCTGAGGAACTGAGAAAAGATTTGTCAGATGTGGGTACAGAAGTTTCAGCCCAGACAATAAGACGCACACTGCGTAATGAAGGCCTCCGTGCCAGAACTCCCAGGCGTACCCCCTTGCTGTCTCCAAAGAATAAGAAGAGTCGACTGCAGTATGCCAAAAGCCATGTGGACAAACCACAAAAGTTGTGGGATAGTGTTCTGTGGACTGATGAAACAAAATTAGAACTGTTTGGGCCCATGGATCAACGCTATGTTTGGAGGAGGAAGAACAAGGCCTATGATGAAAAGAACACCTTGCCTACTGTGAAGCATGGTGGAGGGTCAATCATGCTTTGGGGCTGTTTTGCTTCTGCAGGTACAGGGAAGCTTCAGCGTGTGCAAGGTACCATGAATTCTCTTCAGTACCAGGAGATATTGGATGGAAACGTGATGCAGTCCGTCACACACCTGAGGCTTGGGAGACGTTGGACCTTTCAACAGGACAATGATCCCAAGCATACCTCCAAGTCCACTAGAGCATGGTTGCAGAGGAAAGGCTGGAACATTTTGGAGTGGCCATCGCAGTCACCAGACTTAAATCCGATTGAGAACCTCTGGTGGGACTTAAAGAAAGCAGTTGCAGTGCGCAAGCCTAAGAATGTGACTGAACTGGAGGCCTTTGCCCATGAAGAATGGGCGAAGATACCCGTAGATCGCTGCAAGACACTTGTGTCAAGCTATGCTTCACGTTTAAAAGCTGTTATAACTGTAAAAGGATGCTGTACTAAGTACTAAGATTGAATGTCACTTGGGGGTTGAATAAAACTGATATGCTGTGAGCACAGAAAAGACATTTGTGGTTATTTCATTATAACTGTTATGTTATATTTGTCTGACCTACAAGTGCCTCTTTAATGTAAATGTAAGCAAGATGACTGAATGATCAAAAGCAATGTCAAACTGGCCAAAACACTCAATTTCAGTGGGGGTTGAATAATTTTGGTCACAACTGTAGGCGTGTTTAGATGCATTTAGACAGGTCAAGCCCTTGGGTGTTAATTCATTTAATTGGCCAGAACTCTGATCACTGAAAGGAACACTCAATAGCTTAATCCTCCTAGATTGTAAGCTCGAAAGAGCAGGGCCCTTGACCCCCTCGTGTTTTGTTACTGTATTGTCTCATGTTCTGTCCCCCACTATAATGTACAGCGCTGAGCAAACCTTTTAGCGCTATATAAATACTGTATAAAAATAATAATATGTCTAGCGCTAATGCGTGTTTAGACGCATTCACATGCATCAAGCGCTTTTTCTGCCAAAACGCAGCTTCTCCTGGATGCTCTAGCAGTGGGGTTTTTTTCTGTCTCTTTACTCCTCTAAACATCTGTTCATGCATGGCCACATACAGTCAGGTCCATAAATATTGGGACATTGACACAATTCTAACATTTTTGGCTCTATACACCACCACAATGGATTTGAAATGAAACAAACAAGATGTGCTTTAACTGCAGACTCTCAGCTTTAATTTGAGGGTATTTACATCCAAATCAGGTGAATGGTGTAGGAATTACAACAGTTTGCATATGTGCCTCCCACTTGTTAAGGGACCAAAAGTAATGGGACAATTGACTTCTCAGCTGTTCCATGGCCAGGTGTGTGTTATTCTCTCATTATCCCAATTACAATGAGCTGATACAAGGTCCAGAGTTCATTTCAAGTGTGCTATTTGCATTTGGAATCTGTTGCTGTCAACTCTCAAGATGAGATCCAAAGAGCTGTCACTATCAGTGAAGCAAGCCATCATTAGGCTGAAAAAACAAAACAAACCCATCAGAGAGATAGCAAAAACATTAGGCGTGGCTAAAACAACTGTTTGGAACATTCTTAAAAAGAAGGAACGCACTGGTGAGCCCTGCAACACCAAAAGACCTGGAAGACCACGGAAAACAACTGTGGTGGATGACCAAAGAATTCTTTCCCTGGTGAAGAAAACACCCTTCACAACAGTTGGCCAGATCAAGAACACTCTCCAGGAGGTAAGTGTATGTGTGTCAAAGTCAACAATCAAGAGAAGACTTCACCAGAGTGAATACAGAGGGTTCACCACAAGATGTAAACCATTGGTGAGCCTCAAAAACAGGAAGGCCAGATTAGAGTTTGCCAAACGACATCTAAAAAAGCCTTCACAGTTCTGGAACAACATCCTATGGACAGATGAGACCAAGATCAACTTGTACCAGAGTGATGGGAAGAGAAGAGTATGGAGAAGGAAAGGAACTGCTCATGATCCTAAGCATACCACCTCATCAGTGAAGCATGGTGGTGGTAGTGTCATGGCGTGGGCATGTATGGCTGCCAATGGAACTGGTTCTCTTGTATTTATTGATGATGTGACTGCTGACAAAAGCAGCAGGATGAATTCTGAAGTGTTTCGGGCAATATCTGCTCATATTCAGCCAAATGCTTCACAACTCATTGGACACCGCTTCACAGTGCAGATGGACAATGACCCAAAGCATACTGCAAAAGCAACCAAAGAGTTTTTTAAGGGAAAGAAGTGGAATGTTATGCAATGGCCAAGTCAATCACCTGACCTGAATCCGATTGAGCATGCATTTCACTTGCTGAAGACAAAACTGAAGGGAAAATGCCCCAAGAACAAGCAGGAACTGAAGACAGTTGCAGTAGAGGCCTGGCAGAGCATCACCAGGGATGAAACCCAGCATCTGGTGATGTCTATGCGTTCCAGATTTCAGGCTGTAATTGACTGCAAAGGATTTGCAACCAAGTATTAAAAAGTGAAAGTTTGATTTATGATTATCATTCTGTCCCATTACTTTTGGTCCCTTAACAAGTAGGAGGCACATATGCAAACTGTTGTAATTCCTACACCGTTCACCTGATTTGGATGTAAATACCCTCAAATTAAAGCTGACAGTCTGCAGTTAAAGCACTTCTTGTTCGTTGCATTTCAAATCCATGGTGGTGGTTTATAGAACCAAAAATGTTAGTATTGTGTCGATGTCCCAATATTTATGGACCTGACTGTAGGTTAACATGGAAGGGCATTTAGAGGCAACCCCCCCCCCCCCCCCCCCCCCCCCCCCCCCCCCCCCCCGCAAAAAAAAAAATGCCAGGCGCCCCTAAAAGCAGCGTTAAAATCATTGTGTGGACATGAGCCCTAAGGAGGGGAAGTTTATTATACTGAGGGAGGAGCATAGTAGCACACAGAGTAAAATACTTTAAACCTTCAGAAATATAAAAATAAACACATCGAGAGATTGGAACAGCACCCTGTTCTCTCCTTCTGTACCTGGCTGTCGCCGCTCACATTCCAGGCGTCCTTCACTGGCCTGGGTCTTCAGAGGTGGCACAATGATGTTACGGGGGTTGGTGGAGCAGGGAACCTCCGGCTTGCATTTGCTCTCATGGGTGGCCGTGTTGGCGGCTCGCCGCTGTCCATTGGCAGCATAAGGGCTGGTGTTACTCGAGGAGTCTGAGATAGGCGAGTCATGCACGGTGACGCAGCTGATAACGTTCCGGCGCTGTTTGGGAAGGCTGAGAAAAGAGGAGACAGAGCGTGAATTTTGGGGAATGCCGATACATAATAGTATACGTTAATTTCTTCCAAACACTGTATAATTGGATTGTACAACCAAATTATTGTGGACATGTCATCACATAAATATTTCCATGTGAAGTGCAGTGTGCTCAGTGATGTGTCCGTGTACACCTCCAGGTATGTATCACCCCGCACAGAGATCAGAAAGAGTTTCTGCGCAGACGTTGCCAACGCAGAGAAGAGTTTGTGCAACAGATGTAAACAAATACAGATGGCAGTGGCTGTGGAATACATGTAAGTAAGCATCTGTGGAGAGGGTGATTCTAAACCCAAGTACACAGATATAATATAGTGCAGCTTTCCAGTCCCTAAATGTTGGGGCTGCATTCACTTTCTTTTTCTCTTTATTGTCACCTGATGATCCTGCCTGTAACACACTTCCTGTCTCTGAGTGACAACAGTTACCCTAGGTTCACATCTATGCAGGTGGTGCCACTGCGGATCTGCATGAAAATCCGTGCAGCCGCACCTACCACACAGAGAAATGCGGGCCTGTGGGCGGGTGCCATTAGTTCTAATCGCACACCACCCCCACTGGAAAATGCAACCGTACTGGGAACCGAGGTTCCCGTGTGGGCTGCGGTTTCCAAAGAAGTTCAAGGTCTTCTTCCCTGCGTGTCACGGGGCACGGGAGTCCATTCAAATGAATGGGCTCTCGTGCCCACGCAAAATGCAGACCGCACAGCCACATATATGTGAACTCACTGCACTGCATCAGAGGAGGAGCAGAATTTTCACCATAGAACCAGTGGTGTATTTAGGTTTTGTGCAAAAATCGTCTGCCCCCACGGACACTGACCAACACCTCCACCCCTTCACCCTCCCTTGGAAAGAATCTGACAATGATCAACAACACCCATGCCGCCCATCTGGGAGAGCCTTCTACTAACCCCCCCCCCCCCAGCGATAGAGAGAAATACACCCATCTTCACAGCTCCGAGAAATAGTGATAGAGAGAAATACACCATCAAGCAGCCCACAGCCTCTCTCGGATCCCACTTGGTTCCCTTCGTCTGGGGGGAGGTGCTGCCCCCCTGAAAAATGCTGCCCTAGGCATGTGCCTTGTGGTAAATACGCCCCTGCCTAGAACATCACTACAAACATATCCACCTCTCCTCATCTCCATAACATAGGTAAGAGGTATTGTCAGAGATAGCTGGAAACAATGTAACTGATAAAAGTGCAGCACAAGCAGAGAGTACAGGAAGGCATCAGCTTACAAAACTTCTGACAAAACCAACAGGTATTTCTTTGCACTTATTAAACAGATACAACAAAACACTTTCAATGGCATGTTAACAGACCAAAGGAGAGCTAATAAGATATGATCATCCGTATACTTTATATTTGGGGTATGGTTGGGGGTGGGGTAGAAAAAAAATAAGTGAACGTTGTTTGAAAGAGAATATTAAGTGGAACTAAACCATCCTATTGTTTTGAGCCAAGGAAGCTGCCATGTTAACCTCTGTTTGATCTTCAACTCCCATGACGCTGCACATGTGATCAGTTATGACACCAACCATTTGATGGTTTGACAGTTGGTTGAGAGCACCAACAAAAGTGACAGTTAGCATTCCCGGAATGTCTTTTTGAAACCTGAATATCGATTGGTTTAGTTCAAATTTAATTCTTCAAGAATGATTTTTAAGCTGGATTTTGAATTTTTACCCTTCATATGTAATTTTTTTTTTTTTTTTTTGGATGTGGATGCATAGAAAATGCACAAAATTAAAAAAAAAATCTTTCTTGCATCCGTGAATAACTTTGCCATGCTTTGTACCAGAAATTTAGTATTAGTGTCTTTATAAATGGGTCAAATTGTAAAATAAATGTAGCATGTTTGATCTACAGTAAAACTGGCTGTTTTAAAATGATCACTTACCACTTTTTTTCTATTTTACCTTTCAATTGCATAGCAAATAAATACATTTTTGAAAACAGGGTCACTTTATCAATCTGAAATTTATTTGAAGCCTTGTTTGTCCCTCACTAAAAATATATATGTGTTACTTCAGAATAATGAATGATGACAACATATTTTGTGAATCAATAGGCACATAAATACATTACCATGATCCATAAAGTGCCAGAACTCAAGTGGTTAATAAAAAAGAAAAAAAAAAATTGTTAAAAATCCCTTTAAATACGGTGAAGCCCCCTGACATCACAGGCCTGAAGCCTGTTCTACCCTCTGTAATCCCCCATAGTTGCACCTCAGGATGTCGCTCTTGTAAAGGTGGATGGGTCTATGGGTCAGGAGGGGGGAGGGGAGGGAAATGGTGGCTGCAGCGCAGGCCCCAGGCAGAGAGAGAGAGGGACTGAGAATAGATGCTTTTTCCCACTGATTGCGTTATGTCTCCATGGCAACTGAAGTTTGGGAGTCAGAGTGCAGAATGGATGGCGGTAATCATCAGGCTGCATCCAGGAGACGCAGACAGCTCTATATATCAACGCTGAGAGAAGGAGACATTTCACAGAGACACAAAGGACCCTTCTCTCTGCTCAGCACAAAGGACACCAAATCACTGCAAAATCGGCAGCCATTGTTTTTCTTTCAAACGATGACCGAAGAACAATGAAGTTACAGAGTATCAAATATATATCCTGTAAATAAATATAAAACGGGAAAAAAAAAATGGAAAAATAATCCTCCCAAAAGATTTTCAAAAGCGGTCGCTGATCATTATTGATATGAGATCATCATCGTACATTTATACGTCTAATGTTTGAGACAGTACATAAAAAATTTTTTAAAAAAATCTCTCATTCAACAAGTGTTACTATTAAGGCTCGTTCACACCAGGACCGCAGGGCTGCATTGGGCACAAGGTGATTCTCCTTATGTCCAATGGCTTCAAGTCACACTAACAAACTGCAATGGTGTGCGTAAAAAAATAGGATGTGTTCTATTTTTGTTCAGTGCGATCCAATGCACTGTAACAAACAGCAATGCGCTTAGAATTCACATAGATGTTTAAAAAAAAATGCATTGCAGCATGCGTTCGCATCACACATCAGAGCACACGTGTTATATTCTCTGCGTTTTGCACTGTGTGGCGTGAACAAGCCCTTACACCTAACAGTTCAAACTACATTTTATACTTACAATGATGAAATATAGCTGTTTAACATACAGTGCCTTGAAAAAGTATTCATACCCCTTGAAATTTCCCACATTTTGTCATGTTATAACCAAAAACATAAAAGTATTTTATTGGGATTTTATGTGATAGATCAACACAAAATGGCACATAATTGTGAAGTGGAAGGAAAATGATAAATGGTTTACAAAATTTTTTACAAATAAATATGTGAAAAGTGTGGTGTGCATTTGTATTCAGCCCCCGGAGTCAATACTTTGTAGAACCACCTTTCACTGCAATTACAGCTGCAAGTCTTTTTGGGAACGTCTCTACCAGCTTTGCACATCTAGAGAGTAACATTTTTGCCCATTCTTCTTTGCAAAATAGCTCAAGCTCTATCAGATTGGATGGAGAGCATCTGTGAATGGCAATTTTCAAGTTTTGCCACAGATTCTCTTGATCTAATCCATTCTATCACATAAAATCCCAATAAAATACATTTACGTTTTTGGTTGTAACATGACACAATGTGGAAACTTTCAAGGGGTATGAATACTTTTTCAAGGCGTTGTAATGCAAAAGCATTGTGATACCTGTAAGCAACCTAAATGATGCGAACCAAAAAAAATGGTGGTCAATAAACTTTTGTGTGTTTGGTGTAAAGTGACCTTGGTGGGGCAGCACTCTGAGCCAATTACCCTCCATTTTTACACATGTCTGTCTTTCAGAGTGAACCTTTATAAGTGCTTATGCTTCTACATTGTCCAAGCACAGGCTGGGGGAGGAGCATGACCAGGTTGAATTACTGCAGCATAATTTGGAGAGGTCCAGGAGCTGGCTGTGCTGTTTGGATGGACTATTAATATCAGGCTATATATATTCATCTTCTAGATCCTTTGAAACTCAGGGTGCGCAACACATCCCCAGTGGGTACAAAGTCTCTCAGCATTGCATTTAGGGATACACAGGATTTGAGTTTGGAAGAGTCTCAAACCCAGAAGTCTAAAAACTGGCTATACACAATACAATCTCATTGTAAAATCTCTGTACTATCTCCTTCAGATTCACCAAAAGCATGTGACAAACTACAGAACTAAGCCCATCAATTTAACAGTTTCAAAATACAGTTACATTCCCTAGCCGTGTCAGGCATGTAACAGTCACAGTTGCTTGGGTTCCCAACCAAACTGTCAAACTATCAAATGGCTGAAGTCATAACTGGTCACATGTGCAACATCATGGGAGTTGAACATCAAATAGAGGCTAAGATGGCAGCTTCCTTGGCTCAAAATTATAGGAGGGTTTAGTTCCACAGAACTAAACCCACTGAGTTAATAGTTTCAGAAAACAGTTACATTCCCAACATGTCGGTACTGTAACTGTCACATTTGCTTGTGCTCTCAACCAAAAACTGTCAAACCATCAAATGGCTGGAGTCAAAACTGATCACCAAGGGCGGACTGACAACTCATGGGGCCCCCGGGCAATAGGAGATCATGGGGCCCCTGTTCCCTTGCCCAAACTCAAAAAAGCCTATGAAAAAGGTACCAGGGGCATCTCATGGGGCCCCCTACTGACCCCGGGCCCTCTGGCAGTACCCGAGTTTCCAAATGGTCAGTCTGCCCCTGATGATCACATATGCAGCATCATGACAGTTGCAGATCAAACAGAAGCTAAGATGGCAGCTTCCTTGGCTGAAAAGGATAGGAAAGTTTTGTTCTGCTTTAATAATCTGTTCAAGTTGTATCCAATCAGGTAGGTTGCCTATACATTCCAAGTATCCCATGAGCATCTATAGGCAACTGCTTTCACCTTCCAAGTACAGGTTATAATCGGTGGCAGAACTACTGCCATGA